TAGATTGTCTCAGAGTTTACTTTTAATACTAATAGAATTCTTATAATTTTATGTGTTGTGTAATATGAAAAACGTTCAGAGGAACAAAAAAAATACATATGTGAAAAACATATGTAAATTATGAATCCATATGCAAAATTTTTTTACAGCAACCTGACATGAATCATTGATCGTCTGAAGCGGACTTTATCCTATTCCTTGTCAGATACGAGCAAAATTACTTCCTTTTAGATTTCTATCGTGAATAGAACCGCGCAATTTTATCGCATTTTAACGTAACGAGGTATTCGCGGTTAACACTGAGCACAGAGTGATATAATCCAAGGTTTTCAGAAAACTGCGGTAAAGAATGACGAAGGAAGAAACTTGTTAAATATTGCGCAACATTGCGCATCGATATCCGATTGCCGCCACACAAACGAAATCCGTGAGAGAAATTAATTGTAATTGAACGTGATAGAGAAGAGTTTAGTGGAAATCATAACAATAGCGTTATAAGAACACTCAACGACACGTGGTCAGGTCAGGACCTAAGCGGATCGAATCGTAAAAAAGTTTCGAGTCGTAAAACAGTAGGATTTATACAACCGACAAGAATGTCGAGACTGTCGAGAGGATAGTTTTCTAATTCTCAAGTTTCTCACGTCGAGTTTTCCACTAATTTTCCATGTCGATCACGCGCGCATTCTAAATAAACATTTCCGCTGCACTTGGAACGGCCGAAACGGTGCCAAAAGACACGCCAAGAGCGTTCGATTACGTACCGAGCGCCTTCATGAACTCGTCGAAATTCTCGCTGCTGAAGAGCTTGTAACGTTTCCCGAGGAATTCGCTCGACATGGTGATCGACCGGACGAAGCACGCGGAGAACGAGAAGACAGAGATAAAAAGAGATCGGCGACGACCGGGGAACGTCAGGCGATACAGCCGGGGGACCACTGAACACCTCCTGGTCGATCGGCGCGATTACAAGAACTGAACGGTGAACAGGAACGTTAGGTCGTCAGGATGCGGAGTGTGCAAGCTGGTGCGAGCGCGAAAACTCGGTGTACTGTACTCGGTCTCCCCCAAACTCCCCAAAGCTGTTCATCTCTTTCTCTCTTTGCCTCTCTCCTACCATCTCTTTCTATCTTTAGCTCTCCTTCCTCGTCCCACGCACGCCAGACCGCCAGACTCGTCGCTCGCTTGTTCCGCTATCGATACCGAGGCACCGACGAGGGTCGCGCTCCCTCTCACAGCACTTCCTCCTTCCCCCTTGCGCTCGGAACCGCCCTTTTCCCCTCTCGTTAAACAGCTGCGTCTCTCTCGGCTCTTTGGTCCTCGGTTCTCTCTTCCCTTTCGGTCCTTTCGCCCTTCCACTCCACCGCCAAGCACTGAAACTTCCCCGTCTCGCTCCCACCCGGAGTTTCCCCCTCCTCGAGATCTCCTCTTCGCAGCTGCGAGTCCTACTTCCTACGTTCCTCCGTCGTCCTACCCTGTGCCCTGTGTCCTGCCTTGCGCAACTTTCTCGTCTTTCGTCTACCTTGACGTGTCTTGCGACACGTCGATTCTTCGTTTAGCCTCTTGTACACACGCGCGTCATGCGTAGGAGGAAAAAAATGACCAAGATATTTATCGAGTCAATTAGACTATTTATTTTTAGAATAAAACTGATTGCTGATGAAATTACTGCAAAATATTCCTTGATTTCGCAATTGCGATTATTACTGCAATCGTGATTTATTATGTTACCTCAGCGTATAATTTTAACGACGCTAGCCGGAAGTATTGTAACTGCAATTTTTGAACGACAACTTCCAAGTTGCACATTGTATAAGAAAGTGCTCTACTATACTACTACTACTACTATTAATTAAATAATTGTACAAGTAACAAGCGAAAAGATGAGCTTCGAGAGTGCAACGCAGTTGCATTTATTCATTTGACTTAATTAGATATAATTACCTAAAGAGTCTAAAGACTCTCGATAATGAATTAATTAAACAAGTAATAAGCGAAAAGGTAGGATTTGAGAGTGCAGTGCAGTTAACAGTGCATAAATTAACGTCATAACAATCTGTAATTATCAATAAGATATATAATGTACATCGATGCATAATTTATTGATAATTTATTTTATTGATAATTAAAGTACGTTATATAATATACATCAATGTTTTTAATTATGTATTCTATTGACAATTAAAAATTGTTATAATGTTAATTTACACACTATTAACCACGTTGCACTCTCAACTCACCTACCTTTTCGCTTATTACTTGTTCAATTTTATTATCGAAAGTCCTTAGGTAATTATCTAATTAATTCAAATAATTAAGTTTCGCATGCTTTCTATTTCTGTTTTCATCATAATTACTGACTTTTTCGCAGCTGTAAAAAAAAATTCCCCTTGCAGGTTGCGAAAATTACGTAATAATATTAACGTAGTTTTTTTCCTAAACAGAAAAAAGGAAACTATACTTATGTAAGCGAACCGAAACTCTATCGCCTTCGACTAAACAATTCGTAAATATTTATGGATGGATTTTTTTGTTCGAAAATTTCAAACAAATCCATCCATAAATATTTACGAATTGTTTAGCCGAAGGCGATACAGTTTCGCTTAAGTAGTTTCCTTTTTTTTTTTTTTGGAAAAAAACTACGTAAATATTATCACGTAGTTTTCGCAACCTGCAAGAGGAATTTTTTTTTTAACGAACGGACGCATTGTGCGTGTCGGCAAAATAAACGCCGGCACGTGAGTCACGTATGTACAACATATAGCGCGGTTGTTACGATTTATCTGCAATAATCTGTATCGCGCGCGGTGAAAGAGCTCGCGGGGTTATCATGGGAATCGCGAATAATGACTTCCGTATCTCCGACCGCGCGCGCATACGGCGTTAAACGCGCTTTCGGATATACGAGTATGAGGGCCGCGTTCGAGGAACGCGCTATTAGCGCTATTTGCTTATTCTATCTTTGTTTTACATCTAATGAGCGATAAAGATAGAACGATGCGGTAGCGCTAATAGCGCGCTCTCCGAACGCAGCCGAGCTAATTCCAAGTTCAACAACGGTGAGCGCAAAGTCGAAGGTGCACTCCTCGAACTTGACATGCGTGATATGCCCGAGGTATACACACATCGGACGATACGAATGCCCTCACCTCATTGGTCGGGCGGATCAATGCGCGCGACTTGACGACGAATCGTTCGTACGTTCGAATAAACGGCTAATGGGCACTCGCAATCTCTCGTAATTCTCTCGTAATTGCGCTCAAAGTCCTGCTTACGCGTGTGGGTGTGTCATGCTGTATTATTTAAGTATATTTCGATTCACGTACGTTCGTACGCGCGGAAGTCCCATTTGTCGCGACGCTCACACGTGTAAACGTCGCCGCGCGACTCATTTAACTTTCCGATGAGCTTCTGCATACGTTGGGCCGTCAAGATATACGCCGACCTTTGAAAGTCAATTTATTTCTGTTTCTTTCTTTTCTTTTCGTCATTGCTGAAACTATCGATTAGTTCTGTATTAAGCGATTTTTAAATAAAAGGGTAGTAGGAGGACGAGAATTCATGAATTATTCCTTTCAACAAGCAAAAAATCCGGCGACCGAGACGCGTTGAATTTTTCAACGACGCCCCAATATGTCGTCTGGATACGAAGAAGGCCGGCGTCGAAAGTGTGACGCGTCGTTCGCGTCACTCGCGACGCCACGTCTGATCGCGGTGGCGTCGATTTCGTCGCTCGCGATCCCGCAACGCCCGCCACAGCACGGTCGATAACGGTGCGGTGGAAACGCGTCGACGTTGCCGTAATCACGCGCAGCACACGCTCGTCGGACGCGCGGACGATGTCGCGTAGCAACACGTGAATTCCGACAGCGACGGGCACGGCGCGGCGACCGGCGTGACGCGGCGGAGGCTTGGCAACGTCGCGGCGGCGCGAATTCCGCATTCGCCGTCGAGGGGTGTACATCTCGCCGAGTCTCGGTGCCATGCCGGCGCGAGCACTGCGAATCGGCTGGAGCGTTCGTCGGCGCACCGACGACGATTGTGATTTTCCAAAGGGACGTCTCGCGAGGCCAAAACCAAGTGCCTCGTCGTTTGCGAGAGGAACGGCACATGGCTCTTCGCCTCGCTTGTCGCACCGAAATATATCTTTCGCTCTGTCGTTGCCTTTTATTTTTGAAACTCCCTGCCGGGATGAAGTTGTCCGCTCTCTCCCTCTTGCTTCCATACATTCGCTCCATCGTTACTTCCTCTCGTCGGCCAATTTCACCCACGTGAAGCGAATGGGGGAGATCTATCAACACTATTAACAGTTCGCTATCTTAAAGCGGTTTTTTCTACTTTAACTTCTTTCTTTTCCTACATCGTTCACGTATGTTTCAGGTTTCGTTTCATGGTAAACCATTTACCCAACTTGCGACTTACTTAGACTCGCGGTTTGCTAGACCGTTTTGCTAACTTTGTTAGCCTGATGCTATTACTATTCGCGAAGCACTTGCGCTAATGTTATTTGTACAGTTGGAATCTTTTTTCCATTGTACGACAAGGGACGCTTTACACTTGTTTCGCACTTTTACGGAAAATAGCGACGCGATGTATATCCAACGAGTTATTATTCTAAACCGGAGCAGAACTACGGAAACTCTCGCATCAATATTCTTGCATTACAATTAAATCGTGTGCCTATAAATGTCTTAGCGACTTCCTGTCGTGCGACTGCTTTTATTACTTTTCTTATTACGCAGGAAGCGGAAGTCCGGGAGTCTTTCGAGAGTCATTAATGATTCCATTTTCGATCAATAACTTAGAGGAGCCGTGATTCAGTTTTCGATTCTATTCGGCAAACACACGACTATTAGGCGTGCGCTCGCGGAAACTTAAAAAGCATATGGATCCTTCCTGCCAAGTCATTCTCGCGCGGTGCTCCCGAGATATGAATTTCTGCGCGCCTGGGTCGCACGTGCGTGTGTGTGTGTGCACGCATGGCGTGAGTTATTATACGGCGACGCGATTCCGCCGTTCTTTCGGCCCGCGGCGGCCCTCGGCGCGGCCTCGCCGACCGAGCGGGCGAGCGCCGCGCCGGTCTGGCAACGTCGCGGGTCGCGGGCGGCATAGATTCCGCTCCGCAACCGCAACCGCACGTTTGCCGCCGGGCCGCCATGATACCAAAGCCGTGCTGGCCGTGCAACGGTTTCTCCGCAGTGACGCGCAAGCCGCTGCCGACGACGCGACACGATAACGTCGCCCGGGCCACGACTGCGGCTCCGTTCCGTTGCCGATTTCGATCACTTTATACGCAATATTACCGATTAACCGGTGACCACCGCGGTCTTGGTGGAAGGTACGACGTGCGGTGGGAGCACCGCCGATCGATCTTTTTCGAATTTCAAATCCCTCGATCGAGGAATTTGGGAAAATATTTTTTCGCCGTCTCGTTATCTGAATTAAGACTCTCTCGATCGTGCTGGAAGGGACTCCAGCTCGATTTCCAAGAGATTTCGCAAAAGTATATTGCTCGAACAGTTTTGCCGCGACCGCGAGGTGCAAGATCGAAGCTGCGAAAGGCGAAAGGACTATCGGGCGAAGGAAGGAATTGAAGGAAAGAAGATCTTCGGAGGCTCTATGAACATGTTCGACACGGAAAGGTTCATCGAGGAAATAGAGAGGCGGCCAGCGATCTACGATGTGAATCGCGGCGAGTACAACGACCGTAACGCCAAGATGACCGCGTGGGACGAGGTCTGCCAGGTGATGGTACCGAATTGGGCGCGCTTGACGGACGAGGAGAGAAATGTGGAAGGTATATAGTATAGCATGGCCGCCGCAATTGATCGATCCGGATTCCTTCGGCCGCGTCGCGTCGCGTCGCGTCACCGCCGACCACGGCGGAAATCCGGAAAACTTAGAATTGCCGCGAGTCGATATTTTCCGCGCGATCGGATTTGCAAACGATTGAGTCGTGTTGAAGACGGAGAAAAGAATTGAACAAAGACTTTCGGGTGAAAAAAGTTGGACGGAGGTCTCCTCGCGTGTGGCTTCAAATTTTGATAAAAGATGGGGGGAAAATGCACTGCAGTCTTGCTATTATATGTATTAATTAAATTGATATTGTATAGCGTGTTTTATCAAATTTCTATTTTATAGATATTTATTTAAAAAATAGGTTGAAAATTAGCCTTCGTAATTCTTCATTTTTCCTCACAAAAAGAATTAGCAAGAGGAAATTTTTTGAAAATCTTATAAAAGAAAGATTAGATATTTGAAAAATTGTTATTATTCTGCTATATCTTGTTAAAGGATGAAATTTTAACTGTTGAATTATAATAATTTGTAGAGAAAAATTTGCGCGGGAAATGGAGGAACATACGGGATTACTTCATGAAAGAGCTGAAACTTCAGAAGTCGCAAAAGTCTGGACCCGCCGGGCGAAAACGAAAGAAGTACATGTACTTCGATCGATTGTTATTTCTCCTGCCGACAGTGGAGAACAAGAGGTAGTATTAGTTATCGTCGGAATTAAACGGCAAACGATCGATGTTCGCACGGCTAAATTTAACCGTCTTTTAGGGGTTCCGCAACCATTATTAACCCCTGCAAATCGGAGGAGAGCGAGGGTGAGATGGACAATCCCGTGATTGAGGAGTACGACCCTCTTACTCACGGTGCTTCCATAACTGGTAGCCGGGAATATCTTCAGGCGGGTACTCCCTCGTACAAGGTGTGTCCGCGTTATTCGAAACAGCAGCTCTGCGAGACGTCCTTCACGCCCTTCGACAATGAGATACACGACATCCTCTCATCGCACAGCAGTCAGCGCGTCACCCTTGACGAGGACGACTACGACAAGATGTTTCTTCTCTCGCTGCTGCCGATTATCAGGCAGGTGCCGGAGGAAAAGAAGCTGGATGTCAGAATACAAATACAGCAAGTTCTGGCGATGGCACTCCGTCCATCCGATAATAAATAAACGTTTGGTACGTTTTATTTTTTGGAAGGAGGAAGAAGGGAATCAAAATGCATCACGTGGAAAAAGATTTTGTATCGATTTATACTATATATGAATATTTTTTTCTAGTCTGTCCTTTTAATTAATATTTTCTTGGATTCTTGTACAAATTTTTTGTATAAAGATGGAATAAAATCTATTTTAAGTTTTAGCCTAATTTAATTTTAATAGATATAAGATAACACAAATTATTTCATTTATTGTGTCTTAATTTTTATAAAGTTTACGCTCGGTAAAGTACTTTGATATTTAAGATATCACGGTAAATCGATAATTGTAGGTATAGCGTACTTATAGTAAGTACAATAATTGCGCAAACTTTATGAGTTGTAACAACAAAAACACGGATTGTATCAAAATAACTTAGCGTAAATTATAAGTATGGAATATTCTAGGATACGCGTAATGGATAAATTTTATACTTTATACTTTAAAGTAAGCATGAACATAAATACTGCGTCTGTGATATATATTAAACTCTACTCGACAATCGAATAGACGACGTCATACGCGCAATATGACGCAGTCTTGTCATGCTAGGATAATTCAATTGAAATATATTACATATCGCACATCTTATTCTTTATATTCCTATTATCTAGCCTTTTTTGTACTTTTATACCTGAATTCGAGTCGATTCGTGAGCGTCATTGTTATATCATAAATTCATTTTTTATTAAATTACCAAGATCGTTTTAGTTTAATTATTTAAATTAAATGTATCAAAAATGTATCCATTTACCAAATGCGATAACTTATCGATGGCTACGGATTTTATCCAGCGTCACGATGAAGCATGGAATATCATCAGTAGAGAGTAGCAAACTTTTTACGTTACCGATATTGGATAATATCACAATAATTTTTTTATTAATTACAATAAGGCAATGCAATATATTGCTCGATTTATATAATTTAATAATAATAATTAATCATCTTGTGGTTTTTAATTGTTACTTAAATATGTTATTTAATATGGATATTTTTTTACCACATGATGATATTTGATTTTGCAAGTAAAGTGTGCCGTAAATTTCAAGATTACATCTATACATGAGCTTTTAAACGATAAAGAACAATATATTGTTTAGCTCGCAGTTGCAATACACAATATATACATATTTATTTTCTTTTTTTACAGGTATAAAATCAAAATCTCTAAAACCATCCCAGTGAACACAATAATGTCCCAAATCGGAACATATGACGTCTTAAAGACGTCGGTATGGCAGGTATGTTATTTATAATATCAATTATATCGACTTACAAGAGAAAGAGAGAGAGAGAGAGAGGGGTTTGCGAAATTGTTTTTTATTTATTTGGAATTTACATCGATTTTTCTCACTTTAAAAAGAATATGCGAATCAACGTGTTCCTTTGTTAAATTGTTCGTAGAAAGCGGCGGTCGGTTGTGTCTTATAAACGATACGATTCAGGTATTCCTGATGTTGCTTCTGCTGCTCGGCAAGCCGCAAATTCTCCTCCGCAATTTTCTTGTTGAGCTCCCTAGAAGAATATAACGTAGCACTTAAGGTGACATTTACACGTTTAAACACGAAATTTGAATATCACAGAATTTTCAAACAGGTTTAAAAAATCGTAGTTTTTTCGAAATATGTCATTAAAAGTGATACTGTTATAAAATACATTTAAATATCTTTTTAAACGATAAGAGAAATGTTAAGTACGAAATTAGTTTTAGGATCTTACGATTTTCTTTGATTTAATTCGCACTCATACGAGTATGCTGTTTGAAGATGCGAATCCATTAAATGATCCCAATCCTCGTTGATACGTTTTTCTTCCAGCTTGATTTTCTGAAAAGATGAGTTAGATAAAAGTTTCCTCACATTAATTAAAATTAATAGTTGTAAGTGGATTCATAACTGCCAGTGAATATTTTAAATGCGCTACATTAAATCAAAAACTTTTATTTTAAATATATTATGCGTGACATCATGAATCCGCCGTGATGTCATCGATTGACGCGATCCGTGACGCATCCACAGTTTTGGCCTTAGTTGTCATTAACGTGTATTGTAATGCTTATATATCTGATTCTTATATATTGAAGAATCAGATCTTATATATCTGATTATCAAAAGTTTTAACCCGACATTTTTCATATCGCAATTAAAAAATCAACCTGATGCTCTGTTTCAGGTACTGAAGAACATTAAGAAGCAATAAGGAGAAATTAATTCAAAATACAGATGATACAAAAATTCGTACTTATACAAATTCTACAGTACTACTTATAGTGACTTATACTAACATGAATCTCTTCCATTTGCTGTAACTGAGCATCTCTGAAGACCTTCAACTCGTCCGCAGTCATGCCCTTGTATCGGTCCGCCAACGGCTTGCACGGACCGCGGGTGCTCTCAGCTTGTTCCCTAGCCTCGGTGAGGAAATCTCCAGTCACGTGATTATAAATTTCCGCTTTCTTGTCCTCCTCGTCTTGAACGGCTTCGCAGTGACGGCGATGCTGCTGCTCCTCGGCCTGCAATCGAGCGGAAATAAATTCCGCGAAACCATCGCGGAGCGTCGAAGGATATAAGGGCCAGGGACGCGATCCGCGAACCAGGCGAAGGGGCGGGACGGAATTAACGCGGAGCAAGAATACGAGAGGAGGTAGTAGGGAGGGAAAAAAAAATGAAATCGACGACACTTTGTTGTGGTTTATCGGGGCAAATTATCGCGGCACTTTGCACGATGATGTCACGAGGTTATTATTCATCGACCGCGAAAGAATCACGTAGGCGACTTTTATATCCCGCGGCGAGTTAAAATGCACCACGGACTGCACAAAAAAGTCACATCGCGTCTTTTGTTACGTTGTATCTGTGTCACTTTATTACTACGAGCGCTCTTCGATCACATTTGTTCTCTCGAGAAAGTTAATATACCAGCGACAATATCTGGAAAAGGAGACATCCCGGCAGTAGCGTAAATTAAAATTCAATCTATCAATACTTATTCATGCATGTCGTAATGCTGTAATTTTTAAGTGCACAAAATTTTGTTTAAAAAAATATCAGGTTAGCATTTATATATATAATGGATAATTATGTATCTTATCAGTAATTAAAGGTTGATACAACATTAATTTACGCACTGCTAGCCGCGTTGCACTCTCACAGCCCACCGTTTTACCTGTTACTTGTTAATCTATTTATATCATCTAGTCATCTAGTGTTTGTTTAAGAAGACAAATTTAGACTTTCCCGCAGTAACTTTTATACGGTATATCAGGTTAGGCCGGAATTTTCCTACGAGAGGCGTGACGCAAAAAAAAAAGAGGACAAACTCTATTACATATATTAGGAAAATTGAAGTCGGAGGCAAACAGACAGATAGCGTATATTCTAATGTGTCAACACCATCATGTCAAATATAATAATGCTCGGATCGATCGCTTCATTCGATGTAAGTGGGCGCGTATTCAAATATAGATGTGTTCTTATCCTCAATCGGACATGATCAAGGGTTAGCCGACTGAAAAAAAACCCGGTTCTTTCCGCGAAGCGGTTTAACAAAAACACTACCCTTCTCTCGAGCATCCATCTTACTCGCCGCGGATCTGGTTTCCTTCTATCTTCGTCCAGAGATCAAATCGGTCAAAGGAATCCATTTTTTGCCGATAGAAGACGCGAAAGCAAAAACGACGGAGTCACTCGACTAGACAGCTGTACAAAACGCGAAATAGCAGCAGCTGCTGCTGCATGCCATTTGGAATGGGACCGGGAATCATCATGAAGATCGTACGGTCGATTTTATCTAATTTGTTAAATAAATTGAGCCTCGTCCGCTTTCTCGCGTCGGGTCTAGATCAAAGGCGCGCGAATAGAGAGGATCCTGCGTGTACCAGAGCGCGATTAAATGTCGCCGTCGCTTCGTTCAGCCTTCGCCGGCATTCCTCCTCCATCCGCGTCAACGTCATCGCGCGCTTGTCCCTGGAGAGGACGACTTCCTGATAGGCATCCTCGGCGTCTCGTCGTGCCTTCTCAGCCGCCTCGCGCTCCTCCTTTTGCCTTTGTATCCACCAACGCATCTGCTCTCTCTGCGCCTTCAATCGCTCGGCAAGATTGCGATCCTCGCCCTCGAACCTGTATACAGCCGTAATATTTCATCGTTCCTCCTCTCTTCCGCGGCGTTACGCTCATTACCATCGCGCCAGGGTGAGCAAGCTGCGGGGTAAATTATCCGCGCGAGAGGATCTTTTGCCCCGAGAGAGAAAAAATATCGTTATATACCGTGTTACCGTGTACGCGCAATAGGTCGCGGTTTACAAATCGCGGAAATTAGTTGTTCGAGATTTTAATTACGAGAATCTTAATAAAGACCGAGGAGAGTCATCGGGAGTGCAGGAAACAGAATAACGAGTTTCACAAGCATTCTTCTATCTTAACTTCTGGAAAGTCCGAGATAAAAACCTCTCCGCGACTTTTCTCTCCCGATTGCACCACTCATTGTTGGCGGTATTAATCAGGCTATTTACGCACTTCTGAGCGGACGCTGCTCCCAAGCTCGGATCGTCGCCGTTGTCGTCCACGCGCGCTGGAAGCGATTTCTTTAACGCCTCGGGGTCGTACAGGTCGTAATCTCGACGGTCCTCCGCTCGCTGATGGACTTGTCGGTAGGACTCGACCTCCTTGTTTATTCTTCGCCTTTCCTGCGAACAGGGAAGCGTTTCTCTCGATTCCTCCGGGTTTTTCGTTAGTGGCACGTGACACCGAAATCGCCGAGTGTGCCGGCTCGGGTATCGAGCGAACATTCCCGCGTAATTATCGGCATTGACGGCACTCAATTACCTCCTCCTGCCGTCTCTCCAAATGCACGGCATGCTCGTTGCTGCGAATGAGTGCCTCGTCCAATTGGCATTCTTTCGTCCGTTCCCACTCGCGCTGCTGCTTCTTTTCCTCGACTTGCTTATCCAAGAACTCCTTGTCTATCTGCAAATGTCAGGGAAACAATCGCGCGAATCCTATCGCATTGAGAAGCGTGCAACTTCCCAGATTGTTGGATCAATCAAATGTCGCGTTACGCTCTCCGTCAAATTACACTTGTGGAATTTACCGGTTAGGGATATTGGGAAACAGCAGAATCAGTTGAAGCAAGATTCTCGATCAATTTAGCCGAGAGTAGATTGTAACAGATTTAATGGTAAATGTCAGTGGTAAATATCACAAAGAATCTTCTTAATTAATTAGGAGAACGCAAGCTAACAAAATGACTGAATTAAGAATTGAATTAAATCAGATTTGATCGAAATAAGATGTGAGAGTCTAACAAAGGATGGAACACTCGGGACTGGATATACTCACTCCAATTTTTCTAACGCGAGGATTAAAGATGCGCAGTTTCCTCGCTTCTTCGATTTGTCGTTTGCGTTCTATAGACGCAACGATCTTGAGATCCTCCGGAGTAGCGCGTTGTTGAAACTCAAGCATTTCGGATATTTTTCACGGAAAATCTGAAAAGCGCGGCTTTTTTACGACGGCAAGGTTACACGAGACCGAAAGCGTGAACACTGAACATATCTAGACTTTTCGGTCGGGATTGTCGGGAATCGAAACTGAAGTTTCGTTACCATGGAGAGTTTGCCTGTCGAGGAGGGTCGCACGTAGCCGTGCCGTAAATTCCAGCTGCATGGTATTTATATGATAGGAAGAGATAAAGCGCGTATATCGCAGTACGTTTGGAATTCAAATAATAATATCTCAGTTAGTATCGCGAATTGCCCAATCAAGCGGAATTAATCATTAATTTAAGAGAGGAAATGAACCCTAACGAGAGTCTACGAAGCGTAAAATACGCAATAATATAACACGTCAATTTTTTTATCGTAATTTTACGTAATCCATGTGTTATAAGATCAATAAAAGCATTAATGATGCTTTAATGGAACCATTAAAAAATAATAAACGAATTTTTAAATGCTCCAAGAACGCTCCAGATTTCAACAATGTGAATTTATCGCTTCCAAAAAGTACTCTTTTGCGAGCGAGTTTATCGTTTTCTGGATCTATTTTAATTCTCCTCCGCTTGGCAGGCGCTTCTCTTTGACGGCTTTTTCAAGCCCTGGAGGCCTCTCAGGCCTCTTTGCTCGTAATTATGGCAACACGATCAATACCCGGTGATTGGAATGTTGCCGCTGCGCGACGTTTGACTTCGACCATGTGATTATCTGTCGAAAAAAAAATATTAAGAGATAATTATTCAGTTTATGATAATTATTCAGCTGTTAGAGAGACACTGAGAGACACCCGTACGGGTGTGTCACGTGGGGAGCAGCTGTCGATGGTCGGATGGTATAAACATGTGTACCGCATTGTTATCTGTTGATTTCGTGAAATCCATCTTATTCTCTTCCGTTACGCGCGCTGCGCCGATCCAATTTGTCATCGTATTATTGCGGCGACACGCGCGATAACGAAAGCAGAGAGGAGGGGTCGTGTCGATTAAACATTTTAATTGGGTTAGCCGTATCTCTGCCTTCGATAAAACGCCTTGCAACTCTCACGAGTCCGGAGGCCATCAGCCGCAGGGTCGCGTAACCCCTAATCGCGGTTGTTTACTTAACAAACGCGACGGTAGAACGGTAGTATCTTTATTTTAATTAGCGATCCCTGATTAAGCGTCGATTGAGCTGGCAGATTTTGTGGAACTGTTTTGACTTTGAAACGTCACGCGCGTAATAAAGCAGTAGTTTGATTAAGGCACCTGCTGCCTTGGCTCGCCCAACATATTGACAGTAAACATTAATTACTTTTGGCAAAATTATAAAGAAAAATAATGTTAAAAAGTGAAATTATTTTTGCAATGTACAGCGTCATTTGTCGTTTTAATGTAGTGTTTTTATATATATAAAATAATTATCGTAGTATTAAAGTATATCGAAGACTCCCATTTTGTTATAATTTAATATGTGAAAGCAAGTATTTTTTTATTTCAATTCGACAGCTTGTTTTCGTCCTTGATTAGGCACAATTCAATTTGACATATATAGACTATTTATTGCTTGTCCAAACAAAAGAGCAATTTTCGATATATTTTGAAAATGTATTCTATCAATTAGAAACGTTATTTAATTAATTGATAAACTTTTTATTTTTATGTACGTTGCAAGAATTTTCATGATATATTTTCTCGCTTATTCTGACGTATCAATCCAAGATAGCTGCAGTGAGTAAATCGGAGCTTTAATTGGGGCATCTGGAAAGACTTATCGAATATGCTGACAATTCTCCATATCTTATACATTTATTTTTTAATTATTCTTAATCTCGTTCTGCTTTCTAAAAATTAATTGGGATTTTTAAATATAAGTTTCTCTAGAAAAGATGATCTATAATTTCTGCTAACAGGATAGTGTTCTATTCTATTTGTGTGCCGTAAAATATGAAAAAAAATTCGAGAATCCGAATATATAAATGAAATATTAAATGAAATATTATAATGAAAAAATTAAAATAACACGGATAAAACGTCATATTTTTTTTGGTTTCGACATCTTTCGACGCGAATCACAGATCGTGCAAAGTCTATATCGCATCGTTGTAGTCATCGAAAGAGAAAGGTGTCTCTCGATCATTTCGACGTCAACTTCAGGCCGGAAGTGGCGTTCGCGGCAAGCGGAATGAGCGGGCGAATCGCGGATCAATCGCGCATACATCAGTCTCGCTTGATTAATTCCCGGGGGAGGGTGGGCGAGAACGTGACGCGGCCCTTTCGTAAGATCGATCACCACCCGCGCGTTACGATGGAGCGCCGTGAAAACGCCGTTACAATTTTAATCAGGCGAAAACCACGCCGCGATACGATCGATAGGGTGACGTATAGTTAAAATCCGGCTCGCGCGCGAGCCGTGTTCTCTACGCGAGAGTCCACTCCTCCCTAGGCCACGAACCGCCATGTTCGCGGGTCGCGCGAGGTCGGCGCGGGAGGAAGGACGCGCCCCGTTCGCCTCGTCGTGAAAAAAAAAAATCGCCGTTGACAAACAGAGTCTCGGCGAGCGCGCGATAAGGAGGAATCCTCTCCGCGTCTCGTCGCGCGCGGGCGCGCGTTCGCGGCAATTTGCGTCGCGAGTTGTTCAGCAATCAGCCCGTCGGCCGTCGCGATATCGCGCGCGCACGCCTCGTCCCCCCCGCCCCTCGGGGGCAGAGGGGGAGAGAAGGAGAGGGAAGATGCGCTCGCAGCATGGCGAGACTCTCGGGCGCCTGCGTGGCAGGGTGACGTCATTGGAGAACCGGGGGCAGCTCGTCGTCCACCGTCCACCAGCACCAGACATTCAGTCTCGCCTTGGCGTTCGAGGAGATTGTACACGTTAAGTTTCTCTCCGCGATCGGCTCACTCGCGCTCTCCCGCGCCAACGAGCGGCCCGTCGCGTAAGTTTGACATACCGCGCGATCGACATACCCCAGAATCGATACCGATCGCCGGGACACTCGGTCGACGGAGGGCGGAACTGATCCAAGAGACGCGCGACACGCGACCGAGAGGAGGACTGAGGAGGAGGACGCGCGCGCGCGAGCGCGTCTGATTGACTAAATCGCGCCGGTCGTTCAACCCGGTGTGCGCGACTACGAATATTCTTACGCAACCGATCCGATCGGGAGAGATCGGGCGCGCGGAGGAAAGTTTCTCCCAGCGACAGGGGGGGCGCTCGTTTTCCTCGCCGGGAAAGTCGGAGCTCGGACACGCAAACGTGACACGTGCGACCGCCGTCGACCCGCGCGCGCGGAAGGATCGAACTCTCGGCGGCCGCGGTGCGTCTCGCGGGGGATGCGCGCCGCCGTCCTCAAGTAGAACCCTGCGCGCGAAACGGAACGGAGGGAACCCTCCTTCCATCGGGGTCCACCCGAAGTTGATCCCGGACGTGACAGTTGTTATTATTGTTGTCGTCGTTGATTAATAGACTTTGCTATGCGCTCCGGGCTAAGCGTAGTATGAGAGGATGAGCTGCTCGGTGAAGATCTCTTGCGGCAAGAACTGGGGCTCGCAGCGCAGGATCGGCTCCCTCGCGGAGGAGACGAGCGCGTGCCCCGTCACCTGCGCCGGCGGCCTTCAGGCCGGTCAGTCAAACGCGACGTCGAGCTCGACGACCAACACCGTCGCCGTAGCCTTCAGCAACCCCGTCGTCATCACCACCACCACCAGCACCAGCACCGTCACCGCCGGTAATCAGAGGGTGGTCCCACCACGCCCCGTCAAGTCGATCGCCGCGAAGAAAGGGGAGGACACCACGAAGCTGCTCAAGTACATCGACGATAACGTCATCGGCAAGAACGGCACGTTCTTCGGCCCGTTCGGCCGCAGGAAAGGTCAGTGATCAATATAGTAGACAAGTAGACCGTTTTGCCACCCCTTCTCGCGCCTCTGCCCCTCCGCGCATCCCCCAATACCCTCGGCCTGCATGGCGGACGCCCCAAGAAGCGAGCCGTGCCAGCTCGTTGGGATTGTTACGATATAAGTTAATAAATAACGCTGCGCGTCACTTTCCACCGTATCGCCGTTCAGTTGCCCGACTAAGCGGGCCCTCCATTTTTGTAGCGAATCGTCGGGATGATCAGCACTCCCATGAAATTGAATACGCCCCCCGCTCTCAAGGCCGGAGATAATTTCTTTTGGCGATTTCTTTCAGCGCTCCGGAATTCTGCCTAGATTATTTGTTACATATATATACTATCACGCGATCGTCTGCTGCAAAATTAAACATGTTTATACGCACTTATCTGGAGCAGCGATAAAATTAGATATTATCACGTATTTTGTTTACTATACCCAATACATTTTTTGCACTTCGAAATATCTATATTAATGGGATCATTCTTTTGTTGAAACAATCTTTTTACTTGATATTTCTTTGACAATTTCCAAACCGTCAATAATTATTTACAAAGGAACGAAAAAAAAAAACGGAGCAGAATTTTTCCGAGTTATTTTTAGAACTCGTCGCGTTAGAAGAAACATACCGTAATTATTACAAGACGCTTATAAAAGTTTGTTTACAAAGTCAAGGTGCGATTTTGTTGCTCCGAAGATCAAAGAAATACCAATGAGTCATCGGTGTCGTAATAATAGCATCGCCGTGTCGAGCTTCAATTCGGGACTGATATAACTTTCTGATTATCTCTCTCGCGCGCGCCAGCCAGCCGGTTAAAGTAAAGTGCGACGGTGACTAATTGTGAGAATTTGCTTCTCGAGTTATGTGTCGTGTGGTGTAAGCCTTCGCCCGCGCTCGATTGGGACACCCTCCAAGTGCCGCTGGCGTATATACCTTCCGTAATTCGATACTACCCCACGGAGCGGTAGCGCCCGAAACCCTTGCCGAAGTATCCCCAATTAAGAGCATAAAAGCCGTATATTTTTAGCCGCCGATCGATCGCTCGCGGAAGATTTCCCTGTTGACCCGCGCTCGATGCCGAATCGATATCGAGAGCCGATATCGCGCGGCTTCTCTCCCCCGTCGAAAATTTCCCCTACGCCGTTCCGTCACAGTCGCTCGTTACTACTTGGCGCTCCCGCCCTTACAAAGGACGCAAACGCGGGTAAATCGTGCGCCATATCTCTAATTAACTTAAGATAACTCTTGCCTGGAGCGCCAAGGATGTTTCCGCATAATTGGGAATGTTTCCCCCATTTTTCTTTTTTTTTCGTGATAAAAATATATTTGTTGAAAATAAGTTTACTACAGGACAACATCGTAAGAAGCCAAATTTATTGGATATAAAAAAAGAAAGGACGTAGGAAGATAGTAAACAAACATTTTCGACGATTTTCTTCTCCAGTTCTGACTTGACAGACTTTAAACATTTTTGAAATTTAAAATAGTAATGATATCGATATGTTCTCTAGAATCTAGCTGAGTTTATTCGGATTCCTTGAATTTTCGCAGTATTTAATTCTACTAGGAAGAACTTCTTCCTTCTCGGTAGTTCTACTTTCGTGATTAAAAGTATCGATCTTAGGAAAGTGTATTTGAAGAAAGAATTGCGATTCGAACTCGACACTTTCGGAGACGTCGACTCCTCGTGGCGAAGCACTCTGTGCTTCTCGCAAGTTTAGATTGCGCTGTTGCACAATGCACCAACATGCTCCTTTCACTTTTACATCCAAACAACGAAACGATCGGTCAATGAGCGTAAAACCACAATGAACACACACACACACTACACAAATCGGCGAGTAATTTTTCTGCAATAAGTTCCCCCGAGTTGCAAAATGCTTTCCTTATCGAGCGCTTTTATCGTCTCGTCGGCACGTGTAAACACACTCCGCCGCTAAAGTTGTTTGGCGGTTTCGTGTGGCTGACCATCAGGCGTGTCATTGTCCGAGGATTACTTTGAAAGGCCACGTGCTACCTTGGAAACTCCATTCGTTGTCGCGATCAATAAGGCTCGCGTGAAAAGCGTCGCGGAGAACCTTGAACGCGGACGAAGGAGAGAGAGAGAGAAAGGAAGAGAGAGAAGGGCCTTCGTCGTATCTCATCGAACGAATCGTCGGTGGTTAACATCGCGATGGACGACGGACTATTTGGAGTACCGAATCGCGGCTTATTTGCGCGAAGTCGGTTCCTTCGAGCGTGCTCATAAATATCGTCGAGCTGACGTCATGCATGGCTCGGCGCGATGGCGACCTTAACTCTCTTTCACGCGCGCTAGATAGTTCTCTAACGGAATCGCGTGGCGGCTGGACGTCGCGGAGTTGCAATATCTTTTTTAACGTTACGGCGATGATCGACTTATTTGCTTAACGAAGTGAAAGTCTTGCAGAAAATGCAGATTGCGACTCGCGTGCGGAACGCGTCGGGGATCGGTAGTTTCTATCACAAATTTATGAGCTTCAACTTCTATTTATGGACCGAGGGAGATACTGTATCCTTTTCCTAATCAAGCGCCTATTCCTGGTCACGTGGTTCGTGGCGGTTCTACGCGCGAGAGATGGTGGCTTGTAAAATTCCGAACCCAAGGATCGTAGACGTACACCGCGTGTCGCACACGAAACGATCTCGTGATCTCCTACGCGCAGTTCGTGACTTCCGTCTGTAGGCACGTGTCAATAAATAGCTGAAACCAATCGTGCACTTACGCGGCTCCATTTAGCGAATAGACGACGCCCTGCTCGACCCGATCGTGCCTCGCTAATTCGATTTGCTCTTTCGATGGCACCCGGCTTTTTGTCCGAGCGTCAAAGCCGCTTAATGGCTTGCTCGCGTAATGAATGAGTGCAGCGACGTTTGACGGCAAACACCGTACGAGTGGAGTATGCGTATCGTGTGACAACGTGATCTACGTAAAAATCACAGGAAGCACAGAGAGTGCTTCATCACTAGTCAATATATCCGAAAGCGTCGAATTCGAAAGAAGAACTTTCGTTTGAACATTTTTTTTCAAAGTCAGTACTCTTTCGAGATCTATTGTAACACTTGTAGCGACTGTACATGCAATTTTTCCGTGGACAGTGGGATTTTTCGTTTGACAAAAAAATACGTGACACTACGTAACACTTCGCGATTACGAGCTAGGATTATTACCGATGAGGCGAGAAGTAACACGTGTAAAAGTGCGATTATATCGCTGAGACGACGCGATAAGCGCGGCAGGCACGGCGTCTTTAAAGCTTATTCGCGCGGATAAAATATCGCTGATAAATATATTGTCACTATTGTCAATATTTCACTGGGTGGCAGTGTGGTCTTGTGGTAAAGCGCCAGACTCGTAACCTCGAAGAACCGGGTTCGAGTCCACCTGATCACGGGAATTTTTATATTCCAAACTGCAACCCCGCACGAGTGGGGCTCCGTGTGGGGAAACTGGGCTATCTTTCGGAGGAGACATTAAATTTGAAATTTGGTCGTCAAGCTTTGGGGAGCTTGGGAGTATTGTGGTAAAGTTAAATTTTTACTTTAGAATATATTTTATTTTATTTTATATTATTTTTATTTTATTTTATTTTCTCCAAATGACGAACGTTAGGGAGATGGCCTTCACCGAAAAAACAGGTTCGCCGCCGCGTGATTCACGACGCTCGGTGGGAAGTGACGGAAATCTACATGAAATTTGCAAGTCGAGCCCGTCTCCGTTAAAATAGAAGCCCAGAATTCGATCCGCTTCAAATGCAGGCCTCGAAGTTGCAGGTCATATTCCTGTTTTAATAATCGCCAGGAACGGAGGTAGGGAAACAAAGGAAAAGATCTTTTTCTTTCTTTTTTATTTAATTCATATTTATAATTCTGTCGTATTAAGAAATACCAGTAAGAGACAAAAATTACAAGATAAAAAGTGGCGCGACGCGTCAGTTTATCAGATGTCTCGATTGATTTTATCAATCGCGAATTTAGGAAGATATTTCGCTGCATAATGTAGTGGAACTCGATGCGCTTAGACGGTTCTGCCAACAAACGAGTTTCTCGAGTGGGTCAGATGTTCGTGATGGACGACCCGTTGTCTTCCGACTAGGTTGATCTTGGTCTGACACATCTCGAGGTCGATGGGAGATGCGATCCTGTTAGGCCACTATTTCGCGCGGTCTCCGAAGAGTCACGTGATCTTCCGAAGAAATAAGGATGACTGCGTCATCAACGAAGAACGACTCGTCCATCTCGTCTCTCCTCTAACATTCTTGTCTGGCAAACAGGCCAAGTCAATATTTCGTCGGAATTAAGAAATTGGAGTGGTGTCAAGAAAATCCATTCGGTTAGTTAAATATTTGTCAACTCTTCGCGGCGAAGTTGTCTCGATTTGCAACAGTTCTACGAACGTTCGAGGAACAGCGAGCGTTTAGCTATATATTTTTGAAATCTTCGCCGTCCGAGTAGCAAAAATATACGTTTGAGCGTTCTTATCGAGAGTAAGAGTCCGAGCGGAAGAATTATTAAGTGTCCCCGGTCATCTCTCCATTATCTGCAATTTATTTCCTCGTATGACAGACGGCGAGAGTGCCGCGATAGTTCGACTCGACTGCGCTTCAATAACGGCGCTTCAATAACGACATCGGTATCATAAAGCGCTATAAACCTAATCGAAGTCCGTCAATAATGATCAATAAATGCGCATACGCACGCACGCGCCGCGTCTCTCATCGATTCGACAATTTCGTCGGACATTTCTGAAACGCAAACGCCGGATAACGCGTTCCCGGATCGGCAATAATGGCGCGTTTGACCCAGTTTTACTTGTCCCGCACCAGCTTGACCCAGTTTCTTCCTGGTCGTCTCAGCACAATAATACTGGATCCCGAGCTTGAATGGATGGGCGAGAAATATTCTCGCTTCGTTATAACTCACTTTCCCAGAGACAACGCAGAGAACGTAATTCGTCAC